AGAATGACTTCAAGAGTGTATCAGTCTGTAGTGGAAGGAAGGCGGGGTAGGGGTCGGCCTAGGAAAACTTGGAGGGAGGGGGTAAAGGAAGTTTTGTGTGCGAGGGGCTTGGACTTCCAGCAGGCATGCGTGAGCGTGTTTGATAAGAGTGAATGGAGACAAATGGTTTTTAATACCTGACGTGCTGTTGGAGTGTGAGCAAAGTAACATTTATGAAGGGGTTCAGGGAAACCGGCAGGCCGGACTTGAGTCCTGGAGATGGGAAGTACAGTGCCTGCACTCTGAAGGAGGGGTGTTAATGTTGCAGTTTAAAAACTGTAGTGTAAAGCACCCTTCTGGCAAGACAGTGATAGAGTGAATGATGGTGAAAGTTTTTCTTTTTCGGGCCACCCTGCCTTGGTGAGAATCGGCCAGTGTGCTAATAATAAAATAATATTTGCTCACGTGTCTTTCTAAACCCAGTAGGCCTGCTGCAGCGTTCCTCCTTTCTCATGTAATAAAACACGGTGCAGGTGAACTACAAACTCCGCAGCAACCATTCCTCACTCCCAAAACCCAGCAGACTTTTCGTGATAATTGGTGAATTGCGTGTTTTTAAGGAATACATCGCCTGGGCTACCGATACGTGACTGCCGCAGCAAATTACAACACATGGGCTGGATGACTGAACCCTTCCTAACTTGGTTGCAGTAGCAATGCAGTGTTCAGTAGTTCTAAGTATGGAAGATAACGATTCCAATAAATTACACTGGAATTTAGCTTGCTTGCAAGTATTTTAGTCTTTATAACTGGCAAATTAACTAGTAGAGAAAATAAATTTAAGTGAAGTCACTTTCGCTTCTCAGGTCAGACTGACATCACTCATTCTAGGGGTTTAACAATGTTAGTGAGGCAACACTACTGTCTCATTATGTTATACCCATCACACGAATGCCTCTCGGTGGCTTATATTGTTAGGTAAATGGACACAGATGCAACTAATGTGACGTATTTTACTGTGACAACGTTTCACTCTCCAGGAACTTTGTCAAGCCGTTACCTACTACGTCTTGACAAAGCTCCTGGACAGCGAAATGTTGCTACAATAAAATGTCACATTAGCTGCATCTGTGTCCATTTACCTAACATTTTTTCGGTAATTCTATCGTGGCTTATAGTCTCATTAAGCAGGAACAGGTATTGGTAGGCTTCTTGCTAGGCTACTGGTCCCAGCTACGTCCAGTGAGTGTCTTGCTACGCGTCACGTTAATCCTCATCTTCCTGTAAGGCCTCGTAATACTCGACCTCTCCACAGCTGCGTTCACTGATTGTCTTCCTGCGAGGCTTGGTAACTACCACCTCGCCACAGCTGCGACCAGCGAGTTTCTTCGCTGCACACTAAGTCTTGTTTTACTGCACATCCTCGTAATACACGCCTCGCCTATGTGGCGACCAGTAAGTGTCTTGACTACACACTAATCCTTGTCTTCCTTGATGTTATAAGACACATATGCAGCACATGGGAATTTTTACATGAGACGTTTCGCCTGCAGAGTCTGCTTTCTCAGTGTGATGAATGGTTTTTGTGTTGTCTTTAATAGCAATTTGCAGGTTCGATCCCTGCATTAGTCTGCTCTCTCAGTCCAATGCAGGGACATGATGGATGTAGATAAATAGTTCAGAGAACCGACAGGTTGATAAATTTAGACACATGTGCAACACTTGGATATCTCCTTGTGATCTTCATTATTCTTTGTATTGGATTGATGAAGTCAGTGTGTGGCGAAACGTTTCCACAATAAAGATACCCAAGTGTTGCACATGTGTCTAATTTATCCTCATGATGATGACTTTCAGAGTGGAGTCAGTGGAGGAGCATATTGTCTTTCTTGCACCGGGCGTATCGGAGCTGGAACAAATACAGAGATCGTTTACGGCTCACACTGAGCCAGTAAAGCACCTAAATTACTGGGAACGCCTTCATGTCTTGAACATGTATTCATTGGAGCGGAGGAGAGAGAGATACATGATAATATATACCAGGAAAGTACTCGAAGGCCTGGTCCAAAACCTGCACACTGCCATAACAACATACTGGAGTGAGAGAGATATGGGAGGAAGTGTAAAACCCAGTGATGAGCAGAGGTGCGGTGGGGACAATAAGGGAACACTGTATTAACATCCGGGGTTCCAGACTATTCAACATCTTGCCAGAAGATATCAGAAACACGGCTGGAACAAGTGTAGAAGCCTTCAAGAGGAAACTGGACAAGTATCTTCACCAGGTGCCAGATCAACCAGGCTGTGATGGATATGTGGGGCAGCAGGCCTCCAGCAGCAACAGCCTGGTTGACCAGGCATGCACCAAACGAGCCTGACCCATGGCCGAGCTCAGAGTAGAGAAACTCTCGAAACTCTTCAAAGGTATATCAAAGGTATAAAGGTATATCCTGATCCTTGCCTTTAACCTTTCTTCAAGAGTCTGGCCATTAGTCACCTCGCGAAAGAAACTCATGTAGAGCTTCTAACATTTATAGTGAAACAGTCAAGGACGGATCATTACATTAATGGTATCCAATACCGACAAGTTGATGAATAAAACAACACTTGAGTAGCTTTATTAAGAAGACTTCGCAAGCCAGTGGCTTTTTCAATTCAGTACAGGAATTGCATACTGAAGACGGCAGAAGACATGGAATCAGTCCCTCAGCCTTCATAGGTTTTCAGTCCATTAGCCTTGATATGTTTTCAGTCCCTCAGATTTGATAGTTTTTCAGTCTATCAGACTTGATTCAGCTGAAGTAACCTCGTCTCTAAGTTGGTACATCTAACCTTCCTGTATGTAAACCTCTGTCCAACTGCTGTTGCTTTATACAACGAGACTGATCATCTTGCACCTAGGATGATGGGCTGATTACATCAGATTACCTTTCCACTTCGTCTTCCACCAACATTGTTGTCTCCAGGAATGTTCGTCACCATATTCGACTGAAAAAGTCCGCAGCGCAGGCGAAACATTTCATCAATAAAGGTTATTTGTGTTGCACATAAGTCTTACTTGCTAAACTGTCAGTATTGTATACCATTTATGATATGATACCGTGTGATAAATGGTTCAAAAAACCGACAAGTTGAAGATTGAGACACTTATGCAACATATGGGAATCTTTACTGAGGAAACGTTTCGCCACACAGTGGCTTTATCAGTCCTATACAAATCAGAAAGGTGTAAGGAGAGGAGGAGTTTGAGGTAATCAGTCCCTCAGCCTGGAGTCGATGTGTTTAGTCCAGCAATCTTGTAGAAAGTACAGCATAGGGCCGTAGACACTGCAACATAATGGGATCTTGATACAAAATTCTTCAACCTTGTCCAACCTTTGGACGAAGACCTACTTCGACTAGTGGATGGTACCACTATGATCCCGCCTCCTCCTGCTTCGCCTTACCTGATTACAGTATATAAGCCACGCCTACGGCCCTATGCTGTACTTTCTACAAGATTGATGGACTGAACACATCGACTCCAGGCTGAGGGACAGATTACTTCAAACTCCTCCTCTCCTAACACCTTTCTGATCTGTATTGGATTGATGAAGCCACTGTGTGGCGAAACGTTTCCTCAATAAAGATTCCCATATGTTGCATAAGTGTCTCAATCTTCATGATATAGTGTAAAGTGTGTGAAGATAAACACACTCCGGCACTATATCTTAAGACTGTAGATGTTTATAATATAGAAACAACACTGCAGGCAAAGACGAACAGTTTCAGCACAATGTAACAAAAATTGATACTATTTTACAGAAATATGCATAATTTGCTGCGGTAACATTATTACCATTTATAAAGACAGTGATTTCTGTAAATAAGAATAATGTAATTGCATAGATAAAGAGTCAAGGATGTAATTGAACTTGACGACGTGCAGTGGCTGTCATTTTGGAAGTATACTCACTCACAAGTTCAGTGAGGCTGCCCAATCAACCAGCCTCTTGGCAAAAATCTAAAAAAAAATCCTTATCTAAGCAATTGGAATCTGTCACCATTGAACATCATGTTATTTTCCATTGCACACAGTACCAGTGAGGACTGGGATCGTACATGAATGGTATACAATGCCGACAAGATGAAGAATTGTCGTGGGGGGTTCCAAGGAGATATAGGCGAAAGAATACACACGTAGGATGTTCTAAGGTGTATAATTGGAGAGTCTTGAGGGAAAAAGCCCAGGTCTGCGTGTAGAGTCTATGCCTAGGGTGGAAGTGAGGAAGCCTGCGGCCAACCGTTCACAAGAGTGACTCGTGACGTCATAGCTAGCCAGGGAGTCTATCTATAACACAGCTGGGATTATCTACGTATACTACACAAGTAAGTAGTGACACACTACTGACAGAATTAGATATTTTTTCAGATTCTTAAAGACTACGGTCCTCTTCACCAACTCCAAGGCTGAGGGACGATTACTTCTTTTGTATATAATTCTATATTCTTCACATTATGTCCTTGTATTGTATTGATAAAGCCATTGGGTGGCGAAACGTCTACAGATAAAGATACCCAGATGTAGCACGTGTCTAATTCCTCATCAGGACTGGGATCGTATGGAGCACAGTCGCCTGTGACTACCCTCGCTGTAGCAATAATGATATACACTACCTGCAGGATGATGAATAAAACATGTGCAACACCTGGGTATCTTTGTTATGAATACGTTTTGCCAATACAGAGGTTATCCGAAGGTGTTGAAACCGGAGATATTGTGAGTGACGAGGTAACCAGTCCCTCAGCCTAGATGACGGCGTTTACCGCAGTAGTTTTAATGAATATGAAGGTTAGGTTAGGTTAGGTTAGGTTAGCTAACAGAACCTGCGTCAGGAAACAAGACAAGTGTTTCCTGATACGGGTCTTAGTCATATGATGTCCTGCGGCTGGAGCTTTTGGTCATATGACCGAGGTCTTCCGCTGTGTTACCGGTCGCTTACATAGGAGTCAGATAAAGTAAGAGCCATCCTCACCTTTACCTTTGATAAACTTTTGATGATTTTCGAGAGTCGTCTGGTGCTAGCCTGGCCAATCAGGCTGTTGGTGCTGAAGGCCCGCCATCCCACATATCCATCACAGCCTGGTTGATCTGGCATCGTGGTGAACACATTCACATATTCTTCTACTGTCTCCAGTTTCAACACCTTCAGATAACCTCTGTATTTAATTGACAAAGCCACTGGTTGTCGAAACACCCTAATAAAGATAGCCAGGTGTTACACATATGGTACATTTAGCATTACCTGTGTTGTTGAGTGAGTGTGACCCCGGTTGCTTGGTGCATAGGCCCCTGTTACGACCTATGCTACCGAGTGTGGAAATGCCAGAGCACAGCCACATCTATGCTGTGTCCCCGGGGATGTGTACATACGATTAGGGCATCACCCCAGGAAGATTCAAGGTGACTGTTTATAAGACAGTGTCAGTGTTGTTGCTCTCTCGTGCACCCTCCCGCAACACACACCAATATTCCTATTTAAATCTAAAATACTTTTTCTACACCTAAAGTGTAAGAACACTTGGACACATTTGAGCTGTGATTAATCACTCATGCGAACACCTGGAGACACTTGGATTAAAATCAATTACTTATGGGGACACGAGGAAGGTTTGTGTGTCCTCAGCGAAGTAGGTTTATGTCCTCAATAAGGTAGATTTTTGTCTTCACTGAGGTAGGCTTACGTCATCAATGCGGTAGGTTTGTGTCCTCAATGAGCTAGGTTTATGTGTCCTCAATGAGGTAGGTTTATGTGTCCTCACTGAGGAATGTTTATGTGTCACTTTAGAGCAAGTCTGTCACTACTGGTTGCACCAACGTCAACATAAATGACACTCCTCACAATGCTAAATACACCAGAAGATCCGTGACTACACACTGCCATGTGATTAATGAAGGAGACAAACAATGGGATGGAGGGTGATGGTAGGGAATGGTGAAGGAAGAGGTGGTAGGAAATGGTGAAGGAAGAGGTGGTAGGAAATGGTGAAGGAAGAGGTGGTAGGAGATGGTGAAGGAAGAGGTGGTAGAAATGGTGAAGGAAGAGGTGGTAGGAAATGGTGAAGGAAGAGGTGGTAGGAGATGGTGAAGGAAGAGGTGGTAGGAAATGGTGAAGGAAGAGGTGGTACGAAATGGTGAAGGAAGAGGTGGTAGGAGATGGCGAAAGAAGAGGTGGTAGGAATGGTGAAGGAAGAGGTGGTAGGAGATGGTGAAGGAAGAGGTGGTAGGAAATGGTGAAGAAAGAGGTGGTAGGAAATGGTGAAGGAAGAGGTTGTAGGAAATGGTGAAAGGAAGAGGTGGTAGGAAATAGTGAAGGAAGAGTGGTAGGAAATAGTGAAGGAAAGAGGTGTTAGGAAATGGTGAAAAGGGAAAAGGTGGTAGGAAATGGTGAAGGAAGATGGTGGTAGGAAATAGTGAAGGAAGAGGTGGTAGGAAATGGTGAAGGAAGAATGGTAGAAATGGTGAAGGAAGAGGTGGTAGGAAATGGTGAAGGAAGAGGTGGTAGGAAATGGTGAAGGAAGAGTGGGTAGGAAATGGTGAAGGAAGAGGTGGTAGGAAATGGTGAAGGAAGAGGTGATAGGAATGGTGAAGGAAGAGGTGTAGGAGATGGTGAAGGAAGAGGTGATAGGAGATGGTGAAGGAAAAGGTGGTAGGAAATGGTGAAGGAAGAGGTGGTAGGAAATGGTGAAGGAAGAGGTGATAGGAGATGTGAAGGAAGAGGTGGTAGGAAATGGTGAAGGAAGAGGTGGTAGGAAATGGTGAAGGAAGAGTTGGTAGGAAATGGTGAACGAAGAGGTGGTAGGAAATGGTGAAGAAGAGGTGGTAGGAAATGGTGAAGGAAGAGGTGGCAGAAATGGTGAAGAAGAGGTGATAGGAAATGGTGAAGGAAGAGGTGGTAGGAGATGGTGACGGAAGAGGTGATTAGGAGATGGTGAAGGAAGAGGTGGTATGAAATGGTGAAGGAAGAGGTGGTAGGAAATGGTGAAGGAAGAGGTGATAGGAGATGGTGAAGGAAGAGGTGATAGGAGATGGTGAAGGAAGAGGTGATAGGAGATGATGAAGGAAGAGGTGGTAGATTGTGAAGGAAAGGTGATAGATGGAAGGAAGAGGTGGTAGGTAAAGGTGAAGGAAGAGGTATAGGAGATGGTGAAGGAAGAGGTGGTAGGAGTGGTGAAGAAAGAGGTGATAGGAGATTGGTGAAGGAAGAGGTGTAGAAGATGGTGAAGGAAGAGGTTGGTAGGATTTTGTGAAGGAAGAGGTGATAGGAGATGGTGAAGGAAGAGGTGGTAGGAGATGGTGAAGGAAGAGGTGGTAGGAAATGGTGAAGAAGAGGTGGTAGGAGATGGTGAAGGAACGAAGGTGGTTAGGAGATGGTGAAGGAAGAGGTGGTAGGAGATGGTGAAGGAAGAGGTGGTAGGAGATGGTGAAGGAAGAGGTGGTAGGAGATGGTGAAGGAAGAGTGTAGGATGTAAGGAAGAGGTGATAGGATGGTGAAAGAGTGTAAAAGGTAGGAAGAAGTGGTGAAGGAGAGGTGGTAGGAATGGTGAAGGAAGAGGTGGTAGGACATGGTGAAGGAAGAGGTGGTAGGACATGGTGAAGGAAGAGGTGGTAGGACATGGTGAAGGAAGAGGTGGTAGGACATGGTGAAGGAAGAGGTGGTAGGAAATGGTGAAGAAGAGTGGTAGGAAATGGTAAGAGAGGTGGTAGGACATGGGGAAGGAAGAGTGGTAGGACATGTGAAGAAAATGGTGGTAGGACATGTGAAGAAAGAGGTGGGGAGGACATGGTGAAGGAAGAGTGGTGGAAATGCGGTGTTAGGAGATGGTAGTGAAATGGTAAGAGGGGTGTACTGTGGGTGTAGACACGGGAATGGAAATAAGACTCACAATGAGGGTTTATGGCACTGTGAAGATAGTTTCCTGTACCAGGCACTTTATCAAGACCCTGGTGTACCAGGCACTTTATCAAGACCCTGGTGTAACAGGCACTTTATCAAGACCCTGGTGTACCAGGCACTTTATCAAGGCCCTGGTGTACCAGGCACTTTATCAAGACCCTAGTGTACCAGCACTTTATCAAGGCTGTTGGGTACCAGGCACTTATCAAGACCTGGTGTACCATGCACTTTATCAAGACCCTGGTGTACCAGGCACTTTATCAAGACCCTGGTGTACCAGGCACTTTATCAAGACCCTGGTGTACCAGGCACTTTATCAAGGCCCTGGTGTACCAGGCACTTTATCAAGACCCTGGTGTACCAGGAACTTATACAAGGCCCCTGGTGTACCAGGCACTTTATCAAGACCCTGGTGGTATCCAGGCACTTTATCAAGACCCTGGTGTACAAGGCACTATATCAAGACCCTGTGTGTGTCCAGGCACCTTATCAAGACCACTGGAGAGCAGGCCCTTTATCAAGACCCTTGTGTAACCAGGCACTTTATCAAGACCCTGGTTGAAACCAGGCACTTTATCAAGACCCTGGTGTACCAGGCCCCTTTATCAAGCCCTTGTGTACCAGGCACTTTATCAAGACCCTGGTGTACAGGCAACTTTATCAAGACCCTGGTGTACCAGGCACTATAACAAGACCCCTGGTGGTTACCAGTCACTTTATATCATGACCCTGGTGTAACCAGGCACTTTAATCAAGACCCTGGTGTACGCAGGCACATTATCAGGAACCCTGGTGTACCAGGCACTTAATCAGGACCCTGGTGTACCAGGCACTTTAACAGGACCTCCTGGTGTGCCCGGCACTTTATAAAGACCCTGGTGTACCAGGCACTTTATCAGACCCTGGTGTACCAGGCACATTAGCAGACCCCTGGTGTCCATGCACTTTACAAGACCCAGTGTACCACACTTTAATCAAGGCCCTGGTGTCCAGGCACTTTATCAAGACCCCTGGTGTACCAGGCACTTTATCAAGACCCTGGTGTAACCAGGCACTTTTATCATGACCCTGGTTTACCAGGCACTTTATCAAGACCCTGGAGTACCAGGCACTTTATCAACACCCTGGTGTAATCCAGTGCACTTTTATTCAAGACCCTGGTGTACCAGGCACTTTATCAAGACCCTGTTGTACCAGGCACTTTTATATCCAGACCCTGGTGTAACCAGGCAACTTTATTCGAAGACCCTGGTGATACCAGCACTTTATCAAGACCCTGGAGTACCAGGCACTTTATCAAGACCACAGGTGAACCAGGCACTTTATCAAGACCCCTGTGTACCAGGCACTATATCAAGACCCTGGTGTACGCCAGGCACTTTATCAAGACTCCTGGTGTCCAGGCACTTTATCAAGACCCTGTGTACCAGGCACTTTATCAAGACCCTGGTGTACCAGGCACTTTATCAAGACCCAGGTTACCAGGCCCTTTATCAAGACCCTGGTGTACCCAGCACTTATCAAGAACCCTGGTGTACCAGGCATTTATCAAGACCCTGGTGTACCAGGCACTTTTATTCAAGACCCTGGTGGTACCAGGCACTTTAACAAGACCCTGGTGGTACCAGGCACTTTATCAGACCCTGGTGAACCAGGCACTTTAATCAAGAGACCCTGTGTACCAGGCACTTTATCAAGGACCCTGTGTACCAGCCCTTTATCAAGACCCTGGTGTACCAGGCACTTTTATCAAGACCCAGGTGTACCAGGCACTTTACACGACCCTGGTGTAAACCAGGCACTTTATCAAGACCCTGGTGTACCAGGCCCTTATCAAGACCCTGGTGTACCAGCACTTTATCCAGACCCTGGTGTACCAGGCACTTTATCAAGACCCTGGTGTACCAGGCACTTTATCAAGACCCTGGTGTACCAGGCACTTTATCAAGACCCTGGTGTACCAGGCACTTTATCAAGACCCTGGTGTACCAGGCACTTTATCAAGACCCTGGTGTACCAGCACTTTATCAAGACCCTGGTTGTAACCATCACTTATCAAGAACCCTGGTGTACCAGGCACTTTATCAGACCCTGGTGTAACCAGGCACTTTATCAAGACCTGGTGTACAGGCACTTTATCAAGACCCTGGGTATAACAAGGCACTTTACAAGAACCCTGGTGTACCGGCACTTTATCAAGACCCTGGTGTACCAGCACTTAATCATGACCCTGTGTAACCAGCACTTGATCAAGACCCAGGTGTAAACCAGGCACTTATCAGACCCCAGGTGTACCAGGCA